GCTCATGTGTCGCTGAAGAGACTGGTTGTGGGGAAATTGCTCACCACACTCAGGGCAGATAAATGCGTTTACACTCGACTCAAAAGACCTGCTTTCCTTCCAGTCTTTGTCCCAATCTTCAGATTTTGAGAAGTCTTTCTGCTGAGAGTCTGTACTGGTATCATCATCATCATCATCCTCTTCAGCATCCTCACTGACGTCAGGCTCTGACGAGTTACAATTGTCATCATAAGTCTTTAGATCAGGATTCCAGACTATTTCCACACCCTCACAGTCCTCTCCACCAGTTACTGCTTCCATCTGATCATCGGAGCTGCTGGCTGGAAAATCTTCCATTTGATGCTGGTGAAACCGTGAGAGCAGCTGTTTCTCTTCATCATCCTCAGTCTTTACAGAAACTGAAGTCAAAGGAAACCTGGTGGCATCAGTCTCATTCTTCACATCGAGCCGATCTCCCTCCTGAGTGGTCCACGCTTCCTCCTCTTCCTTCTTTATGTTGGGGGGCTCTGAGTCCTGCTGGTCCACATCAGAGCTCTGTTCTTCAGGGGCTTCTTCTTTAACTGTCACCAACTGCTGAGCATCTTCAGGGACCACTAAAACACATCAACATTATGGAGGGGTTAGGTTTAGATTTACACAAGCAGTGATGGGTGGAAAAAAACATCTTAATTCAGTTCTAAAGTTTTATTTATAAGAACACTATAAAAACGGATGCTATATTTCTCTTAAAGTCTTAGGAATCTGCTGTATTCTTTTTTAAACACAGTTTCCATTGCTTACATTGTTGCCTATGTCACTGTAACTCTGATACTAATACTGGGGATCTTTGTGCACACACAACATGTAACATCTTTACAAATTAACTTCAGTCCTGTGTATGTCCTGTACATTAAGCAGATTGGACGAGATATCTGACTTTGACTTTCCATTTAAGCTTCATTTTTGTTTAATAAATGATAACATGGTGGAATTTGTTGGGTATTTTCTACCACTTCGGGTTAGATTTAAATGACATTGGAACAACAACATCCAAAATACCTWTCATACTGAAAGTCCTTGTTTTTCCACACTGATTTCTTTAAAAAAAACATGTTAATTCTCCAAAGAACTCCAGACCTAACCATTAGACTTCTAGTTAGAATAAAGAAATATAACCAGGGTAAATAAGTTTTAGTGTCCCTGCAAAGATTATGAGCTTAGGGATTTCCCATTAATGTTGGATGCCTTTAATGAGCCAACTATACTATGTATTTCACAGTTTTATAAAAGTCTTTACATATTTTTAGAGATTTTGACCAAAGGCTCTTATCTGTATCAATTATCAATTTGACATCTTGTAATATTCAATCATATCGGCAGAATCAAAGCAAATGGCACAAAGATAAACTTGTCTATTTAGAAAGATACAATAACATCTGATCAGTTAAGAAACAAAAATGCATGCAATAAAAACACCTTTATTTTTCAGATTATCCCCCAACATGATACTATTATAATTATACACCTTATTTAAGTATAGTTTGGATTTATCAGACACCAATATCAATGTCATAATAACACATCTGCATCAACGCATCATCATTACTGTGTCAAGCATAGTAGAGTCAGCTTGCCATGTCTGTTGTTGTGTATTTTGCTCTTCTAGCTTCAAACAGACTAAACTGGAAACAGCTAAAAATGCTGAAGTAAATGATAACATCAGTCCACATAAATACATTTAATACACGAAAATCAGACTGTTTATGAATGAGTTATCAATCTAGATGCTAATGCCTTTAATTGTATAGTAAATGTAGGCATTAGTAAACAGCTGATGTGGCACTAACACTATTTTTAGACTGACCCTCGTTTCAAAGGTTAGCAATATATGCTACAAACAGCTAATGCCTATAAGTCTTTAGCTAAATCTGTTAGCAGGCCTGAAAACTGTAATTAAACTACAAATAGCGCTACCCCACTTTACATAAAATATAAATATATACCAACCTACTATATGCAGTTGATAGTTGGGGTTGAAACTAGCATTTAGGAGTATTCTGTCGCTCATTTTCTTCTAAACGCGACACTTTCTATTCATAACATCTGCGGCTGTTCTTACAAAAACCCACAATGTTTCGTCCACCGATGCATCCAGTCATTGTTTGACCTGCTTTTTCCAACCTCTGGTAGGTTTCAACAATTCGCATTATTCCTTAACAGTGAGTGAGTCCGTTAAAGCTGAACCTAATCCCGACAGCGAAAAAAAAAAAAACGCCCACCCCACACTAACGGAGCCATGACGGTCAGTAGGCGCAGCAGAAAGACGTCACCAGTTCCGCCATGTTGGAAGGAGCTACACACGCCCATTCAGTTCAACCAAAGTGGCTGCTTCATTATGTCAATGTCAAAAATATAAGACATGAACAGCTTGTCAGTAAAAAAAATAAAGTAAAAAATGGCTTAAACACCTCTCCTTGTAGAGCCATCTTTTGTAAAACACAACTGAACACTTTTCAGTAACATGACAAGATTTTTATTATAACTTTTATAAAAAAAAATTTGATTCAGGTGAAAGCTGCATCCAGAAACACATGCTGAAGTATCATATTTATAAACCTTGTATTTGACTTTCTCCTGCAAAAACATAGACATTTTTAGACATTTTGAAAATAGAAATAAAGTATATACATGTAAAATGAGTTTATTTATAAACTAGAATATATTAAAACGTCACACATTAAAAATTAGCTGTCCTTTTAATTTGTGTTTTCACTTATACATTTCTACTTTTATTTTGCAACTATTAGTTTTCAAAATAAAAGTGCTAATGAATGAAAAAAATGTTCTCTCATTAAAAAAGTTAGAATAGACTAAACTAAAATACTTTTTTGCACATTGAAATGTCTAAGACAACAGATTGCGGTTTCTTAAACAAAGAAATGTTTTAATCCAATTTTATTTATTTTTTAACATTTTAAATCTTTGCAACATGTAATATTTAGCTGCAGCAGCACAGCACCCTCTCAATTCATATTAAAGTAGGGATCATGCCTGGAACTCTTAGTGATATTTTTAGAGGTATGAAGAGTATTTTGATACATGTTTTTAAGATTAAATTGGGAATTCCAGAAAAAGCAGACATGCATGCAGATATATTGTAAGTAAAAACTACTACATAGGATGTCCGGAGCTGATCACAAGTATTACATTAAGGTTTTGATCAAGCCATTTTATTTACTGATTAGTAGTGGTGTTGTCGTCCACACTCAGCTTCCAAACTATTTGAGTTGTTAAATATTTATTTATAGACCACAGATTATTTCTGGTATTGTGTGGATTCTCATGTGCATCTTTAAATTGATCTTTCTGCTAAATCTTTGTCCACAAATATCACAACTAACTGGTTATGTTGTCGTGTGGACTTTCATATGTGTGTTTAAGCTTGCCTTTCTACAAAATTTCTGTCCACAAACATTGCAACTAAAAGGTTTCTCCCCAGTGTGGGTTTTCTTATGTCTGTTTAAAAGTGACTTTTGGGTAAACCTTTGTTCGCAAATGTCACAAACATACGGCTTTTGTCCCGTGTGGATTCTTACGTGGGCGTTTAAATACGTCTTTCGGCTGAATCTTTTTCCACAGAAGTCACAACTGAATGGTTTCTGGCCAGTGTGACTCATCATGTGCGTGTTTAAATCTTGCTTTCGGCTAAAATTGTGCTCACAGATATCGCAACTGAAAGGTTTCTGCCCCGTGTGGATTTTGATGTGAATGTTTAAATTGGACTTTTGACTAAATTTTTGTCCACAAACATCACAACCAAACTGCTTCTGTCCCGTGTGGACTCTCATGTGTGTGTTTAAATTTGACTTCTGACTAAATCTTCGATCACAGACGTCACAACCAAACTGCTTCTGTCCCGTGTGAACTCTCATGTGTGTGTTTAAATTTGATTTCTGACTAAATCTTCGTCCACAAACATCACAACTAAACTGCTTTTGTCCCGTGTGAACTCTCATGTGTGTGTTTAAATTTGACTTCTGACTAAACCGTTGTTCACATAGATTACAGCCAAATGGCTTCTGTGCTGTGTGGACTCTTATGTGTGTGTTTAAATTAGACTTTTGACTAAATCTTTGTCCACAAAGATCACAACCATATGGTTTCTGTGCAGTGTGGACTTTTATGTGTATGTTTAGATTTGACTTCTTAAGAAATTTTTGTCCACAAAAATCACAACCAAAGGATTTCTGCCCTGTGTGGCTTTTCATGTGCGTGTTAAAATCTTGTTTTAGGTTAAATCTGTGTCCACAAATGTCGCAATCAAACAAATTCTGTTCAGTGTGGACCAATGTGTGTTTGTATAGATTTCGTTCTCTGGTAWAGCTTTCACCACAGTCATCACAGATACATGACTTCAGGATTTTTCTAGATGAGTCTACATTTTGCTTAGCTCTAAAATGTTTCTCAGTAACCAAACAACTTGAAGAATTTACTTGTGACTGACAGGTCATGTGTCTCTGCAGAGATTGGCTGTAGGGAAATGGTTCACCACACTCAGTGCAGATAAAAGTGTTTACACCCGACTCAGAAGTCCCGTTCTCCTTCCAGTCTTTGTCAGGGTTTTCAGAAGTGGATTCAGGGCCTGACAAGTGCTCCAGCTGAGATTCTGGATTGTCCCCATCCTCATCCTCTCCCTCTTCCTCACTGCCTTCAGACCATGAAGAGTTGGACTTGTTTTCATAAATCTTCAGATCTGGATCCCAGGTAATTCCCGGTCCTCCACAGTCCTCTCCTCCATTAGCTGCTTCTATTTGATTGTCTGAGCTGAYGGTTGGAAAATCTTGGTCGTCAACTTGGTGCCGGTGAAGATGAGAGAGCAGGGGTTCCTCTTCGTCACCCTCACTCTTTACAGAAACTGGAGTGAAAGGAAACCCCGTGGCATTGGTCTCATTCTTCACATTGAGCTGCTCTCCCTGAGTGGTCCACAATTCCTCTTCTTCCTCCTTTATTTTGAGAGGCTCTGGGTCCTGCTGTTCTACATCAGAACCCTGTTGTTCACCAGCTTTTTCTTTATTCACCACCAACTGCTGAGCATCTTCAGGGACCACTGAAACACAAGAACATTATGGTGGGTTTATCTTTAGATTCACACATTGCTACGACAGCTGAAAGTCTTTCGAGGCTGATCAAGGTCACATTAATTGATGGCAGGTGTATTCTCTAGAACAGTGGTTCCCAAACTTTTTATCTTCTGACCCACAAAATATCCATGGCAAAAACTTGTGACCCCAAATATTACTGGTCTGAGTACACAAACTTTGTTAATAAACCTAAAAAAAAAACAGGGTTTTTGACAATCTAAACAGCTTGTACACAAATATAAATAGTTATTTATACTTATTTTGTGTTTCTGTAATAGTTATAGGGAAAATATTACATCAGCAATTATTTTATTACCCTTTAAATTGATTTCTGGAGATTATTCAAGGTGCTTCATGACCCATAATTGGGTCCCAAGCCCAACTTTGGGAACCAAAGTGCAGTGGTTCCCAAACTTTTCAGCTTTTGACCCACAAAATAACAGAAGCAGAGACCTGTGCCCCAACTATTTTTGGATGATAAACATTTATATCAGGTCAGCAAAACATGGGCATAGTAACAATATTTTTATACTACATTTATCCATTTTAAATACACTAACCTCACTCCTTTTGACAACTAAGGCAAAAATGTAATTAATTCAGAAAATCTTTTCAGGACCCCACCTTGATGTTTCGGGACCCCACTTTGGGTCCCGACCCCAACTTTGCGAAACACTGCTCTAGAATAATGAAGGCAGTAATTAAATCTTAAGCTACATACTTCTGTTATGACTTTTTATATACATGTTTTTCTCTGCAGCAACGGATGCAACTTATTGTTTTGTGTTGTTGTGTTGTACTCATGTGTTACATGTCAAATGAAGCTTTCCTGAAGCCGAGGTTTGTCTAAAAATAAGACCATTATTTGAATCTTTTTAACACAGTTCTCTTTGGCGACATCTTGTGGCCAAATGCAGAAAGAGCAGCTTGAAACTACTTTATGAAATGATCTGCTTGACATATGTTTAATAATGATGTTTCTGTCTGACAGCAAACTGTCATTGTGGTGCTTTGAACACATATTGTTTGTAGGTGAAATTATCAAATTATGGTACACTAGATAAATAAATAAAAATGCAATGGAATGGTCCCTCTTTGCTTGTGACTTGATATTTATTACAAATGACAAATTAATTTTTACTTTGTTTACTATTGTAGTGTAATTTACATATATAGATTTTTTCCCTTAAAACTTCTTTTTTCCCCAGAGAAGAAGCACTCATGAATTGGTAAAGCAAACACATAAAACACAAAAGGATGGCTAGCACATCTCGCTATCACTCTCTGATTAGTTGTGTTCAACACAGTGCTTGTGTGTTGTTGTTGTTGTTGTTGTTTATTAATGTTTCTCTTATCTGTGCTTCTTCATCAATGTCAAAGAAAATGTGAAAAATGTCTTGACATGATTAACAGTGGCTTCATTTTTAAAAACAATAAAACTCTTGAATTTTAACAAGGGTGTGTAGTCTGTTAACATCCACTCTATACGTCTAACCACCAACTTTCATGTGTTTTTGAGATATATTTTATACTGAAAATGTCTAAGCACGACAGGTGACTAGATTTTCTTTTAGGGCTGCAATGTTTGTGAATGAGCTATCTGATGTTTCAGTATTTAAACATATTTCTACTGGAGATCCTTGATTTTTTTAATTCTATTTGTTATCTTATAATAAATGCAGAAAGAGACCAGTAACACTAAAAATAATTAATTCAACTTATGAAAAATTGTTTATTACTCAAATACATTAAAACCCTGCCAATACTGTTATTATATAGTACTAAATCTTGTTTAAGTGTTTGTTGGATCAGTCTCAAGATAAAAACACTCCTGCTTCAACAAGTAATTATTAGTAAAATCATTTATTCAGTCTGTTTTTATGTAATGCTAAGTGAATTCAGCTGCTTGTCACCACTGTTGTTATTTTATTGTACTTTGCATGTGTGTGGTAATTCAGGCTAGATGTTCACTGAATAAAGTAAACAAAATAAGTTCACGCTTGCATAATAAAATGCACAACAATATTGTTTATTGGTTAGCATAAGCTACAAACAGAAGCAGCGTTTGTGCGACACGTTTAAGTTGAAAGGCGAAATCCTTTAGCMGACTGAAAACTCACCATCGAAACTGACATCAAACACTTGACAGGAAGAATCAAAACATACCAACCTACTATGTGCAGTTGAYAGCTAGGGTCGAAGCAAGCGACTGTCCTGTCGCTCATTTTCCTCTCTTCTCTTCACTTCCTGTTTATAATCTGCGGCGATTTCTTAAAAATATTTATTTACTGCTACATCCGGGTGCTGTTACACATTCCTAGTGTCTTTGTTAGATGTTGGCCCACAAAAATATCCGCTAACAATTTATTGCTGAGCCTAAAATAACAGAACAGGACAAACAGGACGCAGTGCGACTTGCGAAGTCTTGGTGGCGACACGTCTACAGGTCCGCCATCTTGGCACGGGAAACAGCCATACTAAACTCATTGAAGAACGCCTGGGAGCCGCAGGTTTGAAGGATTAAAAGCAGACTAAGAATTACACTTAGCAAACAAAAACAAAATACTAACAAAAAATAAAAAATAGCAGAATTATTATCAAACAAATCTTAATATTTCACAAAAAAAAACTATTTTACTCTTTGCAATCATATGAAAGTTCAGACAAGTCTACCCACCCAAAAATGGAAGCAGCATTAATTTATAAAACTTTAGAAAACAGAAAAGGTATATTATCTAACATAAACAAATTTTGTACAACAGAGAAGTGAATAGCAGGCAAATACAAATTTAACAGTGAAAATACAATTTAAAACTAATTAAATAGTGGTAGAAAGTGGTAATTTTCAGGACAGGCTGTTAATAATTATGTTCAGAAGCTGTGTTTTTTGTAGTTTTTCATCAGTTCAACCCTTTTTTATGTTTTTCTCTGACTGGCAATAAAATTATTATTATGGTTAATAAATACGTGGCTCAGTTGGTAGAGCTGATGCCTCTCAGCAAGAAGGTCGCCAGTTCAAATCCCGGCCTGGGGATCTTTCCGGGTGGAGTTTGCATGTTCTCTCCGTGCATTTGTGGGTTCTCTTCGGGTACTCCAGCTTCCTCCCACAGACCAAAAACATGACTGTTAGGTTAATTGATAACTCTAAATTGTCCCTAGGTGAGAGTGAATGGTTTGTTTGTCTCGTTTGTCTCTATGTGTGGCCCTGTGATGGACTTGCGACCTGTCCAGGGTGTACCCCGCCCCTCGCACTGTGACTGCTGGATATGGGCACCAGTGATCCACACGACCCTGAAAGGAAGAAGCGTGTACAGAAAATGGATGGATGGATGGCAAATAAATGCTATATAAAGCACAAATACAGACATATAACACAGTGTAAACCTTTCAAATAGCACATTTGATTGATTGATTGATTGATTGATTGATTGATTGATTGATTGATTGATTGATTGATTGATTGATTGATTGATTTTTGTACAGTGCCATGAGATGACATTTGTTGTGACTTGGTGCTATATAAAGAACTGAATTGAACTGAATTGAATTGAATTGAATTGAATTACTTGTATGGGAAAGGTGTGTGAACAGCACAGTGAGGATCTCTGGTCTGTGTCTTGTCTTCTGTCTCCCTCTTGTGGCCTCTTCGTGTCATTAGTTCTTCACCTCAGTTCTCAGCGCTCTCTCTGTCTAGATTATTTCCTTCCCACCTGTCTGCACTTTTAATTATCACACTTATCCTCTGACTACATATACTGGCTCATTCTCTCTTAACCCTCGTCAGATCATTGCAAGGTTTCCCTGGGTCTCCTCCCTGTCTCTCCTCCGAGTTTCCCCCTGTGCCTGTAAGTTTTTGTTTTTGCTGCCACGTCGGCCTTTTACTTTAATAAATATTTATTTTTAATTTGAGCCTGCCTGCCTGTCTGCATTTGGGTCCATCCTGTTCTCAAGCCTTATCAAGCACATTGTTTAAAGGTCTGAGAGACTGAGTGTAATGTCTAGTGTGAGTATTTATAAACTCGTGTACTTTTGCATAAACCAGATAATACATATGTTTCTCATGTTTATGTGTACATCACTTCATATGATGCATACTGTTTGAGACTCCTTTCTTTTAATCAAAAAAAAAGAAAAGAAAAAGAAAAGAAAATCATTCCTTAGCAAACAAGGACACGTTGAAAATTTCTCTCCCTTCAAGCATCCATATTTCTTTTGTGCAGACCCTGTTATTTCCTAAATCTGACTCCAGGATTTTGGAATTGGCTACTTTCTGAAATTATAGCAACTCTTCCCTCAGCGAGGCCCCAGGTGCAGAAGGGAGGGTTTATGCTTGCAGGCCCGTGTGGAGCACATTCACCTTCAGAGCAACAGTTTGGGATAATCCACAATGGATTACAGTTGTTATTCCTGTCAATGTTCATCTGACCAGCAGCTTGACTCCCTGGTACCATTTTAGCCTTCCCAAAACTCAAAAATAGACTGCAGACATCTGTGTAAAACACTTTGGTATCTTCTGAATGCCACACCTTATACACATCTGATTTTGAACAAGTCCAGCTGCTTCTAGTCAACCTCTGGGTTAAACAACTGAAACATAACATGTACAGAAAACTGTTTGGTCAAGGCCACTCCTATCTAGCAGCCTTTGTTATGGTAAACAAAAGCCACCATGACACCTGATTAAGCTCACATTCTTCAGTAATCCCTTTTGTAAAATCTTTTGAACAGACCTTCAGTTCCATTGGAGCTAAAGCATGGAATGAACTGAAGCATATACAGTCAATACATTATAAAAGGACTTTTAAATCTAAGCTCAAATCTTTTCTACTCAATTGTCTTTGTGTAGATGCTGCAGATGAGTTTGATAAATGACTGAATAAATGCGGACAGATTAAACAAACTGTCTTCATCAAGTTACAGATTTGATTTGAGTTTTTTATTGTGTTTGACTTAAGGTGACAGTGTAGATGCATGTTGCAGAGTTCTGGTCACCAAAATGGCAGACATCAGTCTGATCTTGACCTAAACCAAGTCTTATCCAGACCGTAATTTGTTACTGGATTCAAATGGAATACTTTCAGAGAAAAAAAAATCTAATCTGTATCTGCAGCACATAGTATTTGTATTTTCACTCCCATTTGTCTCTCAAAACTGTTTTAATAAAACACCATTACGAAATGAGACATACCCTTTGTCCAATCTGGAACTTCATCTGTGAGCAGGAAAAACAATTCACCACATGACTAGTGACAAAGTTCAGAATTGATCTGGAAGTCAGAAGGAGAACAAGGGTGACATAGTCTCCACATGTATTTAGTTTGTGACTTAGCAAGTGAAGCCAGGCCCAGAATCAATGTGTCCAATACACTTAATCTGCAGCCATGATTGATCAAGGATGGTTGCTCTGGTTTTCAAAACTTGGCTCAGCTTAGAAAAAGTTAAACATTTATTCAGATTTTGCACTGATGGGCGATCTTTTTTTCATAGGACTGTGTGAGCTCAGTCTGTATCAATGCTGTCATTGTATGAGTCTAAGTGATTTTTTAAACATAAAACAGGATTTTTTATTATAAACTTGTCCGAAGTTCAAGCACCAAACAAAGCTTGAAGAAATATGACAGTTAAAAAAGAGAGAGAAAAACTAAACCAACAGTTTTTATAAATATAGAACAGCTAAAATCACAGAAAATTTGCAACAGCTTAAAATTGAAAGCATTTACATCCATATCAGGTGAACAGTGAAGCCTGCAAATTACAACAGTTTGTGGATGTGCCTCTCACTTTTTAAGACACCAAAAGTAATGAGACAAATTAACAATCATAAATCAAAATTTCACTTATTAATATTTAGTTGCAGATCTGTTAGGCCTCTACTGCTACTGTCTTCACTTCCTGGTTGATCTTGGAGAATTTTCCCTTCATTTTTGTCTTCAGAATATGAAATATTCAGTCTGATTTAGGTCAGGTGATTGACTTGGCCATTGCAAAACATTGCTTTTTTTTTTTCCACACAAAACTCTGGTTGCTTTGTCAGCATAGGGTCATTGTCCATGCACTGTGAAGCTCTGTTCAMTGAGTTCTGAAGCATTTGGCTGAATGTGAGCAGATAAACACATCATCACACATATCACAGTCACATTCACCAATAAATACAAGATAACCAGTTCCATTGACAGCCAAACATGTCCAGAGCATGATGCTACCAGCACTGTGATGATTCAATGAGGTGGCATGTTTTGGATCATGAGCATTTCCTTCCTTCTCCATACTTTTCTCTTCCCATCACACTGATACAAGTTCTTTGTCTATGAAGTCAAAGATTGTTTTGAAAAGCTCTAAGTAATGAACGCTTTTCAAACCAAGTTTTATTTTGCCCATCAGTGTTTGCTAAGGAAACTGAGGTGAAAACTCACTTCTTCTGGTCCAAAAGTGAACTGCCGATGATCTCGGATAAAGAATGACTCTGGATTCAGGCTGGTTTGAACAGCAAGCAACTTTATTACTGCAGATCAAAAATACAGCCTAAGATCAAATTGTGGCCTTCAGCCAAATGATTTCTCCAGTACGAAAGTCGGAGAAAGAAAGGCCCCGAGGTGGGGGTGTACAGAGGTCTTTAAGCAACAGATGTACATAAATCACGGTGCACCTCAGACTTTGTCCTAAAATGGTGATGTGTGTGAAACTAGGAAGCTGAGTGGCTGATGAGACACACATATGTGGCATTCCTGAGACAAACCCGAGAAAACACCCCACCTTGGGACACTACTGTACAAAACAATTCTACGCTCATCCACCACCAGAGGTGTCAAAAGTATTCACAATCATTACTTAAGTAGAAGTAGAGATACTAGGGTTTAAAAATACTTTTTTTGGAAGTAGAAGTAATAACTCAAGCCTTTTACTCAAGTAAAAGTATAAAAGTAATGGTTTTAAAACTACTTAAAGTGTAAAAGTAGTGAACACTTTAAAAAAGCCATTAAGGCTGTGCCACAGGGTTCTTTAGCCCAGTGGTTCCCAAAGTTGGGGTCACGACCCACAGTGGGGTCCTGAAACATCAAGGTGGGCTCCTGAAAATACTTTTTGAATTAATTACACAAAAAAATGACAAGAACATTTTTCCCCATTGTTTTCACACAATAATATTAGTGCACTTAAAATGGACAAAAATAGCGTAATAAATAATGTTACTATGCTCTTGTTTATTTGACATAAAAACAATGTATATCAGCTGATAACAGCTGGGGGCACAGGTAATACTGGTATTTTGTGGGTCAAGTTTGGGAACCACTGCTAGTATAGAATATGCCCCCCCCCCCCCCACACACACACACACACACCCCAATAATGAGTATAATGAAAATATAGAATAAAAACAAGTCAACGTTAAACAGAAATGAAATAATTTTTGCCTTTTTAAAAAGTAAGGAGTAGAAATACAGAAAATTGAATTAAAAAAGGAGTAGAAGTAAAAAGCAGGCTGAAAAATAATTACTCCACTGAAGTATGAATAACCAAAATTTCTACTTAAGTAAAGTAACAAAGTATTTGTACTTTGTTACTTGACACTTCTGTTCACCACAGTTGTTTCTATGATCCTGTGGACCTGTTAGTGCTGCTGAGCTCACTGGAGCATCCTTTTCACTGTTCCAAGCAGTTGAACAACTTGCTTCACTGAGTGATAGTTCCTTGGACCGGAGAGTTGACAGAAACACATTCCAAATGCACATTCCTCACCTCCAAGGAACTCGTTACCTTTTATCTGCTTCTTGCAAATGGGGTAATGAGGGAATAACACACACCTTGGGTGCATGGAACAGCAAAGCAGCCAGTTGTCCCGTTACTTTTCATCCCTTAAAAAAGTGGGAGGCACAAATTTACAAACTGCTGTAATTCATACATCATTGACCTGATTTGAATGTAAATACATTCAAATTAAAGCAGGAAGTCTGCAGTCAAAACACGTCTTGTTTCTGTTATGAAGGGCTTGGTTGGTTAGAACCCCAAATGCAGAACTGAAATGATTTTGGCAAAAAAAAAAAGGTGCAAAGGGCTTTATTAAACAAAATCAAAAAGCTGGCGTGGCAGCAAACAAGCTACATAGGCTTGGTTTGGCTTGAGACAATGACATGAACAGGAACAACAAAGCTCTGACACAGACTGAGGACACAAGACAGAATATAAAGAACTAATGAGCTAAAACAAGAAACACCTGGGAGAGAAACATGAGGAGCAGGTGAGAATGGGCGGGGCTGGGGCAAAGACAGGCAGGAGGAAGAAAACAGAAATACAGGACAGAAAACCAGAAGAGAAACCAAATAATAATAATAATAATAAAACACCCATACAGACAGACCATGACAGTTTCATTTCAAATCCATTGTGATGGAGGTTACAGCCAAATTGATAAGAATCGTATCAAGGTTCCAGTTATTATAGACCTGACTGTAAAAGACTCTGCAATCTCTCACAAAAAACTGTTTTATGTTGTTTTTTTTTTTATCAAGGTTCAGCCTCAGTGGTCACAAACAGTGAGTCGTGCTAGGGGAGACAAAGCACCTGTAAAAACATGACCCAGAAAATGATTTACTTCCCACAACCGTTTCACTTTTACTGGTAGAAGAAACCAGTCATAGGCTAAAACATACTTTATTATTGTTGGATGACTTATGTTTTTCTCAGGATAAAATGCCAGTCCCAGATCCTTCACTAGCAGGGCTTTTGTTACCACTGGACGAGTACTCCCCAGAGATCAAAGCAGACCAGAAAGCCACAGCCCTGGGTCTGGAAGAGCATCTGTTGCAAAACAAAGCTTTATGTGAGTAGAAGAGAGGAGCTGAAAGACAAAAAACAAAAAGCTTGGTCTTAACAATATAAACCCTATTACATCTTAGAAGGAAGGTTAGTTCATCACAGAGCCACTAAACACATGGTATAAACCTAAAGACAATTTACAATAAAACCTATTGGTCAGTGGGAGGAAACCGGAGTACAGAACAACCCAGGAGATGAACAGCTCTTCTCACAGAAACAGAAAAAAAGGTCTGATACAAATCAAATTTGTAGTCAGTTCCTATTAACTTTGTTTTTTTTATTCCTGCTATTCAGAGCTATATGACTTTGCTTCATTGTAAACAGGCCTGTACTCGCCCAATACCTGAAGAGMACAAGCGTACAAATTGTTAGGTCTGAGTGTAATTAAAATTAAAGACCAGTTTATTTTAAAAATCTAACATAAAAAAGTTTATCCTGAATGATATCCAACCATACCATCTGAAAGAGTCTTACTTTGGAGCACACACTCAAAGTAAACAGCACTCAGCTGAATTCACTGTCGGCCAGTTTAACATTTGGCCTATTTTTAGTCACTTTGAATGCTTTTATAGAAAAACACACATAGTTGGCATTGCTCATGAACTTTGCTGAAAAAACTTTTAACTTACATTACCATCAGTATGAGAAGATTGTGTGCATTGTGCTTTTATTTTACCTTATTGTTTGTTTGGTTTTCTTGGCTTTGCAATGAGTAGCTCTATTCTCTACCTTTATCTGTCTGTTCAGAACAAAGTGTCTAACTTCAAATCTCCGAAAGCTGTCCAATAAGTTTTTTTTACAATGTTTAATAGGTTTTATTACCTATTTATGGGAGTTTCTGATGCATATTGTCTGCTGCCTTTCAGAGCAAAGTTTCAGACTGTCTGTCCACTCTGTGAACATACTTGTTCTGTTGTGGTTGGTTGGTTGTGAAAAGCTTAGCTCTTGCCATCTAAACATTGAACTGCCAACATTCAGAATGCTAAAATTAGAAGCTCTTCTAACACAGCTGCAGTCAAACAATGTGAAACAACACCCGAGAGAATGTCCTTCATACGTGTAACAAGGCTTTTTGCTTGTAAGTGCATGCTGAAAGGTGGAGTGCGCACATGTGGGGACATGCAAAACAGTATGGGAGGCCATATGTGCATTATGAAAATCTTGACTGTATTTTCTTTTTAAGACCTTAATGAAACGTTGTTTTATTTAATACTGTATAAAAACAAAACAAACCAAATAAATAAATAAATAACTTAGATTACTATTATTGACAAACATCCAACTATGAAAATTAGGTGATGACGTCATCTCAGCGACTTCTGGCGAGCTTTACAACAGCCAATAGGCACTTTTGTCGCTCAGGACTTGGCAGCACTGCCACTAGGTGAGGTCAGCACTGTGCTGAGCGAGAAGCCGTCCCACACGAGTTACTAGCTCGAGGATAAACAGAAGCGCGTTATTAATCGTATGTTCACCTCATGATTTCAGATGTTACACATGTTGCTTTTCTTCATGTCGGCTCTCGTGTTGAGCAGAGATGCTCGAGGTAAGGTGGCATGCGTAACGTTTTTTTTTTTTCCTCACTCCTCTTCTTCGAGTTCAGCTGAATTTATTTTCCTGTCGCCGCTGCTGAAACAGCAGTCGAACAAACCGTAGCTGCATCCCTGTGATATCGATGCTTGTCGTTAAAATAAAATAGGCTACGTGGTAATTTCGTCTGAACGTGCTGGTGCGCTGCACACCGTGCTGTTCTGTTTCGTGTGGCGCAGATACCTGTAATGTTTGTTGTGCACGGAGAGAACATGCAAACGGTACCCAGAAAGGTCCCCGGACAGGGATTTGAACCGGTGACCTTCTTGGTGAGAGGCATCAGCTCTACCAACTGAGCCACCTCCATAGGWTTGCATTTTTTTTCCAAGTTTTTTCCCCCCTTTTGTTCTGGTGCTTCAGCTGTGTTGGAGCAGAGCAACCTCTAAAACAGGTTTTTACAGGATAATGCTCCTCACTGACTAGAATTACACCCGAGTCTTTAGGATTGTTGAACATCACTATTGTTTTGAGTAAAATCATATTGTTGCAGATTTTCCCGTGAATAGAAATACACAGTGTATCTGTTGTACAGTAGGAATGAATGAATGAAGTCCATTGTGTAAAGCAGGGCGCTAGGAATGCATACTCCAGGGGGCAGACGTAAATACTAAGGGGGCGTCATGTGTACACATTGTGCTCCATTACATTTGTTGTTGTTATTGTTATTGAGTAGGGCTGCCACAAACGATTATTTTTATAATCGATTAATCACCGATTATTTTTTCGATTAGTCGACTAATCAGATCATATGTTCATTAAATATAAAACATACAGCTTATCGTGTCAGAATGCAGCTGCTATTATATAACCATCGTTAGATTTTAGCTATATGCTAACTAAAAATAATTGCTGTGGAAGACAAGTTCTGCTCTGCAGATATTGCACAGGTTTCTCTTTCATTTTCTTAAAATGATCCCACACTTTGGAGCTCTGTTGTGAGGTAGCCATGATACCAGAGCCTGTCTGTATAATGTCTTGTGACGTCCACGGCCTACCCCAGTTACCACTACTGTGCATGTGTGTCAAGGACAGAAAGGCAGATGTGGCAGTGGAAGGTGTCAAAGCAGTTTGGAGAGAAAAACAAAGTAAAGAACAACAAAAAAAGAAAACGATTAATCGATTATTAAATTAGTCATCGATTATTTCAATAATCGATTAGTCATCGACTAATCGTGGCAGCCCTATTATTGAGTATTTTCTTCATGCTGGTGTAGCACTAATGCTGCGTTCACACCGAACGCGATTTCAGCTTCAAAATCGCAGCCAACGCTGAAGTTTGAAGCTTGTGCACTTTGAGGTCAGACGCAGGACAGCTGCGCTGCACGGCGACAGCCGCCCCGCCCCTCCCTCCTCTGTCGGGCTCTGTTTAATGTCGGACGAGGAAGTGGCTTTGCTTTATTTACAGAGAGCAAGAGCATGTCACGCTCATCAGATAATTAATTCACCAGATAATTCAGAGTAGAGGCTCACAGCTCGCTTTCAGGACTATTTTTCCAGTCTGATGAGTCGCTGCCACGCATTGCTGCGGACCAGGACACGACTGCAGGCACAATTTCAGCTAAAGAGCTCCGCTCCGTCTGTTTCAGGTTAGTGGACATCATTCAGTAAACTGTCCCGTCGGGAAATATGTCGCTACGTCACACAGTGGAGTCTCTCTGATTGGTTGACGCGGCGCGTCGAGCTGCAAAAGTTCAGATTTTCTAACTTCAGCTTTCAACTTTGCGCCTCAGCGCGTCGAACGCTCAGATCGTTCAAATCATTCAAATCGCGCTGCTCTAATCGCGCTTGAGGCGCCGCAGCACTTCCCGACGTTGCTTGAAGCACGTCCACCATAGACTTTGTATGTAAACCTGCTGCTCCTGACGCTGAAATCGCGTTTGGTGTGAACGCACCATTAGAGTCACTGAGGCATTTACCTTATTGGATTACCATCAGGCATTTATGCATCTCAGATAAATTAGAACCATATAGATTTAACCAGGTGTTTCAATGCCTTTAAATTACACAATAACTTCACTGGAGAAACTTGAAAAAAGGATATATATAGCACCACACCCAAAAATCGCACAACACCCACGGGTGTGGTGCTGGATGTAAAGTCTGACAGCTGCTGGGAAGAAGGATCTGCTATAACGTCAGGGTTTCCCCCAGCCTGGTTTTAAATACAAAAAAGTTTAACATAATTCACCAGTACCTTCTTTAAAATCTTGTTTTAAACAAGGTTTTAAACAAATCTTGTAATCCTGTATTGGTTTTAAACAAATCTTGTAATCCTGTATTGGTTCAGTTGGTAGAGCTGATGCCTCTCAGCAAGAAGGTTGCCGGGATCAAATCCCAGCCTGGAGACCTTTCTGGGTAGAGTTTGCATGTTCTCTCTGTGCACATGTGGGTTCTTTCTGGGCACTCCGGCTTCTTCCCACAGACCAAAAACATGACCGGCCCTAGGTGTGAGTGAGAGAGACGGAATGGTTGTTTGTCTCATTTGTTTCTGTTTGTCTCTGTGATGGACTTATGACCTGTCCAGGGTGTACCCCGCCCCTCGCATTGTGACTGCTGGATATGGGCACCAGTGATCCTGAAAGGAAGAAGCGGGTATCAAAAATGGATGGATGGATGGATGGATGGATGGATGGATGGATGGATGGATGGATAATCCTGTATTGAATTTAAAATTTCAGATATTTATAATCACATTTAAACGTGACACTTTAGGCTTCAGGCGCTCTGCGGCAGCTGTGTTTCACCCTATTTGTGCCAGATCACACGCAGCTGTTGAACGATCTTGTTGGTGCAGCATATCGGGTCTCTGTTTTCAGGTGGAGCGTGAGACTTTTTCTGTGGGTCATATTTTCTGATGGCTGGTTTAAAAATATCTGCCAGTTTTGTTTTGGTCCTTGCTAAATCTTTTTTATATTTTAAAACTCAGTCTGACAAATATATTATTTTTTTATGAGTCTCGCTCTCTGACTTCTTTCCTGACATGTTGACAGCTGTCAGTCAATCATCGAAGGTCACGCCCACCAGGCTTTTAGGTAGGATTTTTGAACAGGGTGCCTGCACTGGCTCTCATCTCACAGGGATGGGGGGGGACGACTGGCTGGGTGGCTTATGCAGGCATTAAGAGCCTCATGTCATTAGAACCTCATAATAAAACTGTTGTTTTCTCTCCCCACCACCTTTATAAGATAAGATAAAACTGCATTTATAAGAATGCAATTACAAGAAAGCAAGGTACAAATCAGAATTTTTATTTTAATGCAAATAAAATGTATAAAATCAGCAATGAAAAATCTGAACATGTTTATGAATACACTATACATGACTGACCTGCAGTTTACAGGTGCCTAGGTGCCTGCAGGTAGTGGTTGACAGCTGCCTGGATGTCAAATCCTGCCATGGACTCCCTGTTGTAGCTGACTCTGGCTACGTTCACACTGCAGGTCTTAATGCTCAGTTCCGATTTTTTGAAAAAATCCGATCTTTTTGTGTGAACGTTCACATTACATTTTAAATGTGACCTGCATCAGACCCGTGTGTGAACNGTAGAATACGAAAACATTGGTGAATGCCACAAATTCTCCTAAATCACTCGTACGCACAATTTAAGAACAAATCTGTGTGTACGAACGGTTCTTGCATGAGCCCCATTGTTTGGGATAAATTGTCACCTTAATTTCATTATCTGAGCCACAGCAGTGAGTTTAAAAACATGATGATTCAACTAGAATCTGTCTCTAATTTATTTATTTAATCAAGTGTTTTATGTAGGTAAAAGTAAGTTTAGTAACCTGGTAAAATACACCAGAATGCAGGAAACTGCATCTACTAGTTTCAAAATTTTCTGGTGGAGGACCCCCAGACCCCACACTAATGATCCCCCACACACATTACAATGCTTCTGATGCTCATTGCTTAACACTAGAGAGAATAAACCAACACACAAGTAGTGCACCATCTGTGTACTACAATAACTGAACTGTGTTCTATGAAACTAGTTGATTGTCAAACTGTACTCCTGGTGAGATTAAAGAGCTGCTACAGAACATATTATAATGCAGGTGAACATCGTATAGGTGTGATTGAGTACACATTATTGCACCACAGCAGAAACATTTACTTTGTTGTTTATGAAGTGTGAAGAGGCAGGTTTTGATTGGTGAATACAAAATACAAAAATATTACATGCTAGTACATCTTTGCCTAATTTTTTATATGTACAAAAATTGGGCCGGTCTTGGCCATTAAACTCCCGGGTTGAAAAGTTCCCCACTCCGCCCCTGACCTGCACTGTGTCGAGGGGGCATCCCAGCACAGAGCTGACCTTCCTGATGAGCTTATCTAACTGCTTCCTCTCAGCTGCAGATAGGCTGAGAGGAAGCGAAAAGCAAAAAAAGGTGCTAATTGATGCTTTTTTCTCTCTTCCTCAGCATGTGCCAGCGTGTTGGACAAAATTTGCAGATGTGGCACAAGTTGTCTAAAACGTCATAGTGTGACAGGGCCCTAAAAGGCAACCTACATACAAGCGTTCATACATTTTAGTGGGGTGGACATAAACATATTTATTTTTTTATTTTTTTTATTTAACTGTGTTAAGAATAAAATAATTAAAAAAAAACACGAGGAACAAGTTCACATCTTTCTGGGTGAAATATTTGATTTGAACTTCATTTCAAAGTAATATCCTTGCAGCTCCTCTGCAGGGGTATTATTGTTAAATAGTGGTGGGAGAAGTCTGTGTGGAAAAACTACTTTTSTTTTAAACATCTGGTAGCCTGTCAAAGTTTGATTCACACTAAAGATTTAGTTAAAAAATGGATTATATTTGCCATTTTAAGATTTTATTGTTGGGGGTGAAGCATTGTACTTTTTTAGAATGCATGTCTTTAAAAATAAGTGGTTGTGTGCTGGAACTAATACTTTTAGGTTTAAGCCAGTAATTCATGACATACTTTAATGACCTAGGTTTTCATGACATGCTGTTTATCAGCAGATAGAATGATTAAAGTCAGAACAAAATCCGCTAACAACAATCATTCTTAGATATCACTTGTGTTTATCTTTGTGTTTTCCCTTGACACAGCATGAAATCTTGCTAAGATGATATAATAGTGTTTTGTTAAACAATATATATATATATACATACATATGATCCTGTTGTTGCAATAAAACTCAGATGATCATTCCACGGAGTGACTTCATTCTTGGACCATGCGTTTCTTAGCCTGGCTTAAACCAAACCCTGTCCCTCACTTTGCTTCGTACAAGGGTCTGGACTTGATGCATAGAGAATAGATTTCTTGCAGGAGGCGTGGCCTCTGCTGAAGTTTAAAATGATTGGATTAGTTGGCTGCGACGCATGTCGCTGTGACGGAGGCTAAGCTAAGAAGCTAACTGGAAATCGCGTGTGCTGTAAACAACCCTACTGAGAGGAGAAATATACAGAGCCAAACGAGACGACTGTAAATGAGAGCTGCTGCTTTGTCAGACAAATTTATTTTAATTTGGAAGCCTTATCAACACGGACTGGCTTCATTCACTTCTTCCACTGCCGTATGCTAAACTAACTAGCAGACACTGCAGAAAGTAAACTTCGTTCAAAGCTCCTCCTTCTGTTCTCTGATTGGCCCAGGTAAAATAAACTACAAGCAGACGCTGCGCAGAAAATTGACGTTCTGTTCTCTGATTGGCCCGGCTAAAAATCTGCCAGTGAAATCCTTGTTAATGGGAGAAGTCCCAGACGGAGCAGAGAAGGGAAACTAGAATTGAGCGGAGCTGCGTAGGAAGGCAAGGGCCAGGCTACGTATTTCTGTCTTTGTTAAATAAATATTTCCATAACAGGTTGAAAAAGTCTTTTTGCTCCTTCAGAAGAAATGAGCGTGCTGTTTTATTTTTTTAGCAAAATTTCACATTAGGTTTTTGCTAAAACAGGAAGAAAACATTTAGATTAAAGGTCTCCATCTTTGCCTTTATCAGTTTCCTGAGGCCTGCAGGCTGAGTGCATTTAGACCTCGATGACTTTGATGCTCTGCAGCTGCTGACTGTAGAAAAGGGGRTCAGACAGTTCAGCCAAACTTAAAGTGTGATGGAAAGGTTTTGTCAAWGATAAAATGGACAGAAGGAAAGAGGAAGTCTGCTGTAAGTGATTATCTGAGCAGTTCCTTTAGTTAAGTATTTAAACACAACTATTAAAAATAAGACAGTTTGACATAAAAAATAGAATTTTAGCACCATCAGGGTTTTTACCAAGCAGTTATGTTGTTGTACAGTAGATGATCAACTGAGGGGCCGGGCTCTTGCATTTATCTTTTCTAGTGATTTTTTTTCTGTCCTTTTTGCCCCCTCACTTATTTGGTTTCCTCCCGTTTTTATATCAGACACAGTACACCAGGCTGCTRATAGCTGAGAGTACAAGCCACCCAAGCTGTTTTAAGAAAATAAGCTCACACCAACTCAAATCCAATGAGTTAAATGGGATAAACTCTCTGACCCTGCAACTTATTTTTGAAAACAGTTTTTAAGTGTTTTTTTTTTCTTTTTGTTCTGACATATTTGCTACAAAAACAAGGTCTTTTGAAGTGCTTAAAACACAATTTTATATTGTTGAGTGTGTTGTGCTGCAGATAAGTCACAATAACCTGATTTTTTTTTTTTCCTTTACAGCTCAGGTGACAGGTGGGAGCTCAGCCGCTTTGTTTGGAGGTACCACCATCTTACCCTGCAAACTGACGCAACAACTGAAGGACGACGAGTCTCTCGAACAGATTTCATGGAAGAGAAAAACGAAAGGAAAGCCACAGACGGACAATTTCTTGACCATCAAATCTGATAAAGTTCAGTTTGTCAATGGGGATGATAAAAGATTTAAATTTATTGGGGATTTTCACCAAAAAAACGGCAGTCTCCAGTTATCGAATGTAAATCTGGACGATGAGGGGACCTACACCTGCATCTTCTCTGTGTTCCCAACTGGGACTTTCAAGACAGATATACCTCTAAGCGTACTTGGTATGGTGAAATTCTGGATGTTGTGTTTAAGTGTGAGTGAAAATTAGCCATATTAACCTCCTTTTGACATCCCCTAGTTTCACCGTCGATAATCGTGAGGGATGACAAGCCCACTCTGGGAGACAAAGACGTTCTTCTTGCAACCTGCACAGCTGCTGACGCCAAGCCAGCTCCCAGTGTGGAGTGGGACACCAGTACCCTGAAACAGACTGTGACCAAGAACAGTAGCTTGACTCAAAATACCAATGGAACATTCACCAGAACGACCACATTATATGGAAGACCTACCAAAGAAATTCATGGCAGTTCTGTCCGGTGTGTTGTCAGCCACGAAGCTCTGGTTGAACAAAAGACTTGGTCTTTCGAAATACAGGTCTACTGTAAGTAAACAAATGCTTCCTTGCATCTTAATTACTTGTGCACAAAAAAGATTAATCAGGAATAACCAGATAAGCTATACTTGCTAAATATGAGTTACTTTTCAAACTTGCTATCAGAAACCTTTATTTTCACCTGTTGAATGCTGCAGATGTCCTCATCAAATTACAGATTTGATTAAAATTATTTATTATCATAAACTGTGTTTAACTTATGGCAACAGTAGTTGCATGTTGTAGAGGTCAGGTCACCAAAAGGGCAGACATCAGTCTGACCTTGACCTAAATGAATTCTTATCCAGACCCTAAATTGTTACTGGATTCCAGTGGAATACTTTAAAGAAAAAAATATCTGTATCTGCGGCACACCTCCCAATTGTCTCAAAGAAAGTGGTGATAATCAAAACTATTTTTCTAAAATGTTACGAAATGAAGCATATATTTTGACCAATCTGGAACTTCATCTGTAAACATGAAAAACAACTCATGACTAGTAATAAAGTTCAGAAGTGATCTGGTTAAAAGTCAGGAGAACAAGAGTGACACAGTCCACATGTGTTTAGCATGTGACTTAGCAAGAGAGGCCAGGCTCAGAATCAATGTGTACTTTAAAAAACCACATGATTTTTTTTCCCCTCCACACAGAAAGGCACAGTGAAACAAAGAATGTCCGGAATGAGTGGCTGCTCCTCATTCAGACATTTAGACTTTAAATGCAAACAAATCTAAGTCTGGAATGGTAAATTGGGAAGTTTAAAGAGCTATAACAAAATTAAAACAGAAAAAATTAGAACAGAAAAAAACTAAACAACCAATTTTTTAAAGCCAAAGTTTAGTTTTAAATACCTGCAGCCATGTTTGAGCAYGCTGTGGTCTCTGGTGTATTTTGAAAACTAGGCTAAAACAACTTTTAAACTTTTAGAAGAAGTTAAACATTTATACTGTACAGCTAGTACAGTACTAGTTTATAAAGCTGATGGCCTTTAGGCTGCTTTGTTTCCAGAATGTTTTGGRAGACTCAGTCTGTATCCTGGGTGATATCATTGAGTTTATGTGAGCGCCTGCTCTTCATTTGTAATGTGACCATTTTTTAAACAGGGTTCTATGCTCTAATCTTATCAGAAGTTTAGCACCAGACAAAGATGATTTCCTTCCTTTTAGTGATAATGTTTTAAAGTTGATGGAATTCTTTCATTTTACTGCTGCAGTGACATCATGACCTGTGTGGGTTCYGTTGTAAAAACATGACACAAATGTTTGCATGGGCAGATGATGAATCCACAGGACCATGTTTTTGTGGATACACAACATTTTATCAGTCCTGCCTACTTTCTCTTTTTATTTTTTTAAGGATGAAATAACTTGTAAGTTAAAGCTGCATCTGTCATGACTCCACYTTCAGCTGCTGGCTACCTTTTTTAATGGTGATAATTTAATAYATGTCTGTTCCTTGAAGCGTCAGGTCCATGTTGTCTTTACTGTTTTTGGTGTGTTTTCATAAAGCACAGAATATCGGCCTGGCTTAGCTTCTACGTAGTTTGGATTTCATGCATTTTTTTGTGAGTGAAAGCACAAAAATGATTCCATTTTTATGAGGAAAAATACTTTTATGGACAGAAAAATCTTGTGAAAAAACATGCCTGCAKGTTTGATTATGTCACAGCTTAGAGTATCTGGTGGAAGAAATGTTTGCACATGTCTTCTCTTGTTTGCTTGCAGAGTTTTAGCCCTGGAAATATAGTTTTATTGATCTTACCTCCACTGTTTTCATCAGTGTCAGTTTATTCAGTGGTCAGCTGGCGATAAAACAATCCCACTGAGTCAGTTGTACTCCTTGACGAGGTTCTTTAGAGCCAAATGAAAAACAGAGCAAGAAACGGCAGATAATCAGTTGTACTTTTTGCAGTGATAAGTCTGCAGAAAAGCAGCAGCAGCCTCAAGAGGACTCATTTTACCATATTTTGGGGTGTGATCAGAAACCTCAGAGGTTTAGCACTACTTCCACATTACTGCTTCAATGTTACTACCAGCTGGTGCTTAAATAAAAGACAGCCACAAAAAAGTAACTGCAAAAAGTCACCAGACTATATATTCGTCTATGTTGCTGGAAATTTTGTTTGAGCATCCATGATTCTTTGTGTAAAAAGAAAAGGGTGGGAGCATGGAAAAGGCAAACAGTGACTAAAAAGGTAGTTAAATGCATTTAAAAGGCTGCAACTTAAAACAGATTACAATTAGGAAACGGGAGGGAAAAATAAAATAATTGAACATGAACATTTAACAAATATTAGACATGTTGTTTCCTGTGATGGACTTGCGACCTGTCTAGGTTGTACCCTGCCCTTCACACTATGACTGCTGGATATGGGCACCAGTGACTCCTGTGACCCTGAAAGGAAGAAGTGGGTATAGATGATGGATGGATGGATTTTGTTTGCATTGCTATTTTTATTTATGGTTTTTAATAGTACGTCTTTTATTATCTGCACAAGAGATCTGCCCCATCAAGATGATTAACCATCTAAAAGTCTATTCATTCTTAAAAGAATGTTTCTAAATTAACAAACTGAACCTGCTGTTAGGCAAATGATTTCCTTATTTCCAATAGAATTTATTCTTTTGTGTTTTGCCTCAGTGATGTTTTAACCAACAGGTCCTTCTCTGGAGCATCTGGGTTTATTTTATTATTATTATTATTATTATTATTTTTTAATTTCCTTTTGTTTTTCTTACAAATTATAGAGCCACCACAATTTTTTTTCCAAATCAGATAGTTTTTCAGTTGAGCTCTTTTCTTTGGCTTCTGCACATGTGTTTGTATTTGTGATTGTGTCATGGTCACTGCTGCCATTTGAGTGTATCAAATGAAGAATTGCAACAATCCAGATAAAGTTACAAATGATGAGCTAAAACTTGGCATGATAGGAGTCGCGGCCCATTCTATGGGATAAATCCTGTGCCAGCAGGAACTGAATTGAATTATTCAGATTGAAACTGAATGTGCAAACATTGAAATTGAATGCATTGGTTTGAAAAAGAATTTTACTAAATTGAAACTGAATTTAAAGTTTTGAATTTGAATTAATTTGCTTTGAAACTGTATTTTGGTCTATTAAAAATACAGTTTAACTACTTTCACTTTCAGTTATAGAATTCAATTTCAGTTCTAAAATTCAGATTTTTGTGCCACATCTGGGTCCTTGAGAAAACCAGCCAGAGTAATCAAACACAGATCCACAGATTTATGTTTCACGTCAGTGAAGCTTCCTTCTGTAATGTAACAGAACTGATGAAATCCATGTAAAAGTGACAAAAACAAACAGTTATTTTTTTTGCAGTGATTAATTTTACCTATAGAACACGTTACATTTACATCCCGTCATGGATCAGTCAGCAGCAGCATCTGATCAATATCGACCAGCAGCTGGGAGCGATGATGTACGAAGACATACCATTTGCACTTGCACTTGATTTTACCACAGTCAAATCAGTACTGTTTTTAGCACTGTTCTCTTACCTTGTTACAGATCAATCAGAAAAAACAGTATTTTAGCTGTGTTTTTTCTCCTTTTTTGTCATATGCATGTTTTTACAGCATTCCTTTTTTTAGCTTTTTAAAGCCCTTTCAGAACTTGGTTGTTGAAGAATGGCTGGCAGATTACAGRGGGAGGAATGCAGGATCAGTGTGTACAACATATTCTCACAATCATTCATTGTCTGTTAAGTCACCCTCTATCTATATGTCATAAAACCAACACTGTCTCACTGATTTTGACAATGAGCTCTTTGTGCTCTGTGGCTTCCCACATCACCAAACCTGAATTATTTGCTTGTCCAGGAAGACGAACAGAAGGAAGTTGAGAGCTAAATTCAGCAGCTTAAGGTTGTTGTTGTATTTTGTTAAAGATGGAACAAGCATAGATTTTCTATTTTTCTTTTCTTTTTTTATTGTTCACAAACACAAAATTACAGGTTTTTGAAGCTGGGAGGTGCAGTGATGTTCTGAAAGAAACCCTTTCTGCTTCACAGCTGTTATTCTCACCTTCAGACAACTGTCTTTAACAAAGCCTTTAACTCTCACCTCTGAGAGAGTTTTCACATGCCAGGGTGACGTCTAGGATATGGAGTCTAAATGGGCCATGTTCAGGGCCTGCATTGTAGATGTGGCCTCTAGCTGTGGCCTGAAGGTCATCAGTGCCTGTCACGGTGGCAATCAAAGGACTCGCTGATGGACACCAGCAGTGATGGAGGCYGTCAGGCTGAARAAGGAGGCCTTCYGGACTTGRGGTTTCCTGGARGACTCCTAAAGCAGCTTTGGTGGTTACAGAWGCAAAAACTCAGGCTTAGGAGAAATTCGGGAAGCCCATGGAGAAATACTTTTGGTTGGTCTCAAAGAGATTCTTTCAGACTGTTTGGCAACTCAGACTTGGTTTGGGTGGGGAACTGCTGACCTGGACTGAGGATATTGTTGAGTGGTGGAAGGAACACTTTGAGGATCTCCTCAATCCACCTTCCGTGTCCACCATTGAGGAGGCTGAGTCTGAAGACTYGGGGGAAGACAAGTCATTACTATGGCAGAGGTCACCAAGGTAGTCAAAAAGCTTCTCATTGCCGGGTGGACGAGATTCACCTCTAAATGCTTAAGGTTCTAGATGTTGTGGGGTTGTTTTGGCTGGTATGTCCAACATTGCTTGAAGGATTTGGACAACTTCTGTAGAGTGACAGACTGGGGTCTGGTTTTAAAAATAGGGCTCCAAAGAGTGCGTTCTCCGATCGATCGTCAAACTTTGGATTCAAGAGGAGTAGTGTGGCTTCCATCCAGCTCATGGAACCAAGGACCAGGGGCCTCATTTATAAAGGATTGCATGGAATTCATACTAAAAGTGAACGTACTGCCAAAAGGCAAAAATGGCGCACACCCACACTCAACCATAAACAGTCAATGCAAAGTACCTCATGAATGTTAGGTGCATTTAAATGAGTCAGCTGCTCAATGTCAACAAAAGYGATTGGCCAACTTAGGCATGTGCTCTGTTGTACATCTGGAGGAGGACAGGTGCTGACAATGGCTCACATGAACAGATCGTCTGTAATTTACACAGGTTTTCCCTCATTTTGCAGGCATAAAGACATTTAGAGCAATCTCACATTTTTTCAAAAAGAGCATGTAGGAAATTAAATCTATAAATAAAATTAAATAACCCAACCATTGCCCTGTTTTTCAGCTAAGTTTGCCACTTTGCTCCATGTTTCCTCCTGCTTTGTAGCCTGTGCTGTTATCTGCGGCAGATAGTCCAACCGACAGCCAGTTTTATAAATCAGAACCTTTGTCTGAAAAGTAGCGTATGCAAGTTTCTGACCCCATTTTGTGTGTAAGCAAGCTTTATAAATGCTACCCCTGATCTTTACCTTTGCAGAGTTGCTAAGGGGGTCATGGGAGTTTGTCTCTCCAGTAGACATGTGTTTTGTGGACTTGGAGGTGGTTTGTGACCGTGTCCCTTGAGGCACCCTGGTCTGTGCTGCAGAAGTATGGAGTGTTTTGGTTGCTATTAAGAACGATCCAGTCCCTGTATAACAAATGCAGGAGCTGTGTCTGCATTCGTGGAACAAAGTCAATCTTGTTCTCAGTACAGGTTGGATTTGAGTCAGTTCCTCTAAGTCTGAGGCCATGGTTCTTGACTGGAAAAGGGTGAAATGCCCTCTACACACCGTGGGTGAGTCTTTGCCGCAACTGAAAAAGTTTAAGTATTTGGGTGATTTGCTCACGAATGAAATGGAGTGGGAGATGGATTGGTGGATTGKGGTCTCATCCTCAGTAATGAGGGCGTTGCTTTGGTCAGTTGTGGTGAAGAAACAGGTGAGTCAAAAGGCAAAGCTCTTGATTTACTGGTCTGTCTATATTCCAACCCTCTTTTATGGGCATGAGGCGTGGATCGTGACTGAAAGAACGAGATCCCGGATACAAGCGACCGAAATGAGCTTCCTTCAGGCTCAGCTTTAGAGATAGGGTGACGAGCTCTGTCATCTGGGGGAGTGCTGAGTAGAGTCTGACCTCTTGCTTCCATGACCTGACAATAGATAAGATAACATGATATGGAGATGTAAAAATTGCCTGACTGAACTAGAGGTTCCACCCACAGCTTTTCTAATACATCCTGTGCTCATTTTAGTCTGGATTGTCCCTAAAGGCTTTGGATATTTTCTTATCTACAATTAAATTCCCATGTCAGCCTGCAGCTCTCATTGTTTTCTTCCTTTCATTGTCTAAGACAAAATTCAATATACTGTGAAGTAGAAACTTCAAAGCAGTTTGAGCTGGGTTTCTCACAAATTCCTGTGGGTTGACTTTTTTGTAAGGTAGGAAACATAATCTGGGACTTTGTCAGTTTATATCTCTTACCTTGTGTCTGTTGGAGATGTAACTTTATTTCATTGTAGCAGAGATCTGCCAATGTTGGCAACTGAAAATTCTCTTAACGTTGTGTCTAGCAATCACTATAAATGGTGAAGTATTCTAAAATAAGTATTTTGCAATTATATAGTTCCTAATTAACAACAGAGGTTGGCCAAAGTGGCTTRTAGTTGAACCAGACAAGACAAAATAAAATAAATGAAACTAGCCTTTTTTTAAGGAATACATATCACTCACATCCTTGCATGTCAAAGTTTCAAACAGGATCTATAAGGTTTTGTTGCTCCAAATATTTATAAAACAAAATATTTTTATTTAATCTTGTCTATGAGAAAGGATACAGCTGTGCAAAATTAACCTGGAGCTCATTAGCCTGATAAATACAATTTAACGGTAATTTTGTTCTTGCTTATTAAGTTTGAATAAATATGAACAGTTAAAACAGTCACAGTAATTGAAGCTGAAATTTTAGCTGAATTTTTGTTTTGGAACGTCTTTAAGTTTGAAACGGACATGCTTTATGTATTTAAACAGTAGTGTCATTAGCAAGRTTTGATTGCAGCAGAGAAGGAATGTTTTAACTTTGCAGCTGTATCYTTCCCCCCTCCGTTGTTTGACAATAACAAACAACGGAGGGGCTCCACAACTATATCTTGTCTTGATAAAGTTGTGGAGCAAAGGAATGTCAACAAATTGCTTTAGACCGGATGCCCTTCCTGGTACTACTTGGGGTCATGGCGCTCTGACACCTAATTTGCTAAGAGACCTTGCTAATATAAATAGCTCATTACATTTCCAACACTACTGTTTTTGCTCTCAGCTTCAGTTGAGGTAATGGRAAATGTATCTGACCTGTTGTAGACAGCTCTGTTTGTAAACAGTGTTTAATTCTGGCTGTATTTGTGAGCAACCTTTCCACAGAAGCCCACTTAAAAAATAAAAATCTCTGGAAAGCCTATAAATCATTTTCTAATGAAATGGGTTTTAAATTAGTTTTTTAAATCTAAGATTCTGGTAGTCATAATCAAAATTAAGGAAATAAATAAAACCTGTAAAGATGTTRATAACTAAAATAATCTCTTGTTCTTGTTTTAAGACCCCCCTGAGGAAGTGAAGTTGGAGAAAAAAGACGAGGACTCTTTTATCTGCATGACTGAAGCTAACCCGAGAGCTACCTTTACTTGGACCAGGTACAGTGACTGAATAACAGACAATTCAAATATTATTTGCATTTACTCTGAAATAGAGATTTGTACTGAACTTTGTCAGTAAGGTAACYAGAGTACCAACAAAGCTGCTCCATCAGCTGAAGCTCAGGGTAATAATTTAGGCAGTCTTGTTTTTGAGGTCAGCTTACCAGATGAAGAGAAAACCATTAGCTATTTGCTCTGCAACTCACAGCTGACACAATGTTTACTTAGATAAAGCTTCCCTTCCCTATTGCTCTGTCTGATAACACAACAAAGAACCACTTTTTTTCTGAAAGTAACTTTTTTCTTAAGTTGTCTTCCATCTGCCTGTTGTATAATATTTTGAAGCACTTAACGGTGAGCAGATGTTTTTGTTAYTTAATGCACTGCTAAGAGGACCAAAGAACAGAGTAACTGGTATAAACGGTTGCTCCAAATATATATATATTTACCCCTTCAATTTGCATTTATGCTTTGTGCTTTAAAGGGGCAATATTATGTTTCTCAGGCATATATTTAAATTCTGTACCATTATAAATGTCAACCTTCAGTTGTTATTAAAATGCTGTGTTGTTTGTTTAAATAGAAAATAAACTTGACTTCTCATCATATCTGTTTCTAAATGCCTTGAAATTAGCCTCTGTCTCTTTAAGAACCTCCTCCATATTCCGTTACGCCCATTTATTTTACGTCATCATCAAAGCTAGTCTCTACAGAGATAGGCTCTGATGTTTATGACCTGGAGCGTTGTGGCATATGGCGTATGTTGTAATGATACAAAAAAAGGAAGCAACATTATACAATAGTGGTTTTGGAAAATTGCATCTCAGGATACATATTAACCTTATTGTCGGACCGGAAAGTACGTTTTCTAACGAACCGGAGCAATTACAGAGACGATGTTTCAGCTGGCAAGATTGTTTCAGTCGCTCACACACATACACTGATTGTAATAATCAGAATCAGTTTTATTGCAGTTTTATTATGTTAAAAATCTTAACACATAGACCAAACAACATATGAACAAAACACTGAGTTGTTTTTCAGCTTACCTGGGCAGATGACAACTGTGTTTGTGTCCTTCTGAGTGTCCAACCATTTTTAAGAACCGTGTCATCCTTGTGAAGCTTAAAAAGARGGTATTCTCCTTGGCATCTGAAAATCAATTTCCTCAAAGGCAGACGCGGTTTCACCGGGTGTYTGCTAGTTGTTCCTGCCGATAGCCTGCAGGAGTCRYGRGGCGGGSYGGGGGTTGGGGGCGGTGTGCTCTGTGATGAGGCATCTCGACCTGGARACWCAGCCCAGAGGAGGAGCTGATCCCAAAAGGCGGTTCTAGGCCCAACCAGTYGTTTTTGCTCCCCTGCCTGGCTGCCTCAGGACACTACAGGATTTCTCAAACATGCATGAATGAGTCAAAGTAAGACTCGGCATGTTTTTAATGAGAGGATAACATTATAATAATAATATAAAGCTCAAAAAAGCTGATTTTACATAATATTGCCCCTTTAAAGTATTCTGTTTCCTGATATACAAGAACATCCTTGTACAGAAACTAATAAAATTGTAAGGATATTTTATTTTATTTTATTTTATTTCATACACTCTGGAACAGTGAACTCTCCTCTTTGGCTTTTGCCAGTGTTCTCTTAGGACCAGTCAGTCTACAGTACTTTTCTTTTGTTTTGTTTTTTTTTTGTTTTTTTAATATGTCATGGTGGCAGGAGGATTGTAAATAATAAAAAAGAACTGTCCGCAAACCTACAAGAACTATGGAAGTAATTACAAAGAACACTGGGAGAATAACAAGACAAGCATATGGAGAAGCTCATCACAATGGTATGAAATCTGTAATCAGGAAGTGGTGAGACTGACAGAATAATAAATGCTGAGGCTAATGAGGGAGGTGGCTGCAGCTGAGACTAATGAGAATGAGCAATAGGTGTGGTGGGCATGGCAGGAACACATGGGACAAAACCACAAACCAAAGAAACAGAAATRAAATTAAAAACAGAAGACACAAAAACAACCAAAGCACACAGAATGTGACATAATGCTTTTAATATTTTAGGTTTTCATATCATGTTTACCACACCTTTTTTCTTGAATGTTTGATAGAGACAGTATCAGGGTAAATCAAAACAGATCCAGAAAAATGATGATGTTTGGCACAAAGAAGTAGACGTGCAAAAGAGGCTCCTGTCATAATTTTTTCAAATGTTTCATACCTTCTGTCAACAGGGATCCACCAAAAACTTCTGCATAAGGCTCTAGGGCCTAGAGCCTTATGAAGTCATCATTAACGTTTTCCCAGTCTTGTCAGAATTTCCTTGTACTGTTGTCCTTTTTTGAAGATTTATTGTCCCTGTTGCCAAACTAAACATTTAACTTTTGACTTGAAACAAACCAAAAATACCCAGCCTTTTCTGTTTTTCCATATTATGTTTAAACATGTCAGCCTTTGTGGTTTGGGATGTGTTTTAKAAAACAATAAATTCTGGTTAAGCTTTGTTGTAGTTTGCAACTCATTTGTTTAGCATAGAACATCGTAGAATAAAGGAGATAAAATAACGTCCAAAATAGAAAGATCACTGGAGGGGGTGAAGCTTTTGTGTTTTATACAAATGTGCGGTGTCACCTTCCAGGTGGCAGTTGGTTTAATTGCTTGCAGGCAAGGTGGGACCTGGTTGGTGCTGAACGAGTCAGTGAGGTCATTTGTCATTGGAGTAAATGTCACACACACACTTGTGGGACTCGTGTGATCTGCCTTTCAATCATTGTGTTGTTTGTCTTTGACAAGATGTCCAAAATCCAATTACTAAAAGTGAGATTTTCAGTCTGAGCCAGTGGTCCTTATAACGTTGGACTTTTGCAATAAAATGTTCCTTAGTTATGACCTATTTTCATTATTAACTATTATTAGTTAGTAACTATTTCATACATAAACGCATCTAACGTGACATTCTGTTCCACCCTTCTGCGGTCTGTGCCCCTATCTGGCAACCCCTAGAAAAAAAATCCTAAACCCGCCCCTCTCAAAGAGAGAGTGGAATAATGGTGAAAAGATTAGGTAAGAGAAAAATTGATGCAGAATGCAGGGTGTTTAAGCTGCAGTGGACAAACGATTATTTTTTTGTTCATCTGTCAAGAGGCGGTGGCGGTATTCAAAGAATACAATCTGCGGCGACACTATGAATCCCGTCACAAAGACAAA